ATAGGAAAGCAGACTTCAGCTCAAGATAAGAAAACTTTTTAGAATTAAATTAAACTCTTTAAGTTAAAATTAAAAGTGAAGTGAAGGAAGTCATACAGGGCCAAGGGCACTACAGGAAAAGGCCCCCAAGGCCAGCTGTAAGGCTTCCTTTGGGCACTAGATTGAACACTGGTCTCAGCGCCAGTTTTTCCCATCAGTGAAACCATGGAAAATGCTACTAACAATAGAAAAGCTACTGCTAAATTGAAAAATGGTTTATCATTAGTAATGGACAAATGCATTCATTCTTTTCAGGCAGTTGTTCCCTAAAAGACTCAATTAGAAAATTAAAGTTAGTGGGAATTTAGGTTGCTTCCACATGGCTATTTTAAGTAACACTATAATGAACAATAGAAGACTAGACAAAGAAAATGTGGCACATATATACAATGGAATATTACTCTGCCATAAAAAAGAATGAAATCTTATCTTTTGTGACAACTGAATGAACCTTGAGGGTTTTATGCTAAGTAAAATAAGCCAGGTAGAGAAAGACAAACACCATACAATTTTACTTACATGTGGAATCTAAAGAACAAAACAAACAAACAACACAGAAACAGACTCAGATACAGAGAACGCATTGACAGGTCGCCATACGACCCGTCAGATGAGCAGGGGATTGGAGGGCTGGGTGCAAACAGTGAAGGGATTAAGAAGTACAAACTGGTAGTCACAAAGCTGTCATGGGGATGAAAAGTACAGCATAGGGAATATAGTCAATATTATAATAACTATGTATGATGCCTAGTGGGTACTGGAAATATGAGGGCAGGGGTACCATGTTGTAAAAGTGCATAATTGTCTGAAACCACTCTGCTATACACCTGAAACTAATATAATACTGAATGTCAATGGTAACTTTTAAAATTTTTTAACTAAAAAATATTCACCTTCACACTTAAAAATTCATTAAAATTAGTTTGTTTTACCCTCATATTTTCAAGCTTTTAAGTTATTATCAACCAGGTCCAAATTTACCAATTGCAGGGCAAGGGTGAAATTAAGATCTAGTAAGGCAAATAAGTAGTTGATGATCTGTAGTTTAGGTTTTGATGGTGAAGAAAATCCACTCAGTCTGATCATTATTTATCTCAGGATTTAAACAGTAACCCTAATTGTATTCTTTGAACACCAAGTGGCTGCCCCTCCCCCAACTCCCACCCGGTAGTTAATTAGCTGGGCAGGTCTTATAACAAATACCCACTCAGAAACACTGGGTGGTAGAAATGCTGTTGATAATTAAACACCACAATAGCAAGGAGCCTATTTCAGGAGCCGCCGAGTGGCCTTGCCCCCGCCGGACGGCTCACCACACACTCACAGACCCTCTATTGTGCTGGCTGTGGCCGTGCAGAGGGATGGCTGCTTGGCTGGAGAAGGGATCAGCTGCAGTCAGAGAAAAGGCCAAACCTTGCAAACAGGTCCAGGAGTTCTGGACTCAGAGGGGGAACAATCAGAGGGTGGAAGTGAAAGGGGAATGGATCCAAGAATAAGAGAGGTGGATGGGCAGGAAAATCAATCATAAAATAGACATGGCCTTTCTAGTTTCTATGTCCAACCAACCAACCAAAACGAATTCACCAATCTCATGACAAATAGGTAGCAATTGGAAAACTGCAATACATAAATAATACGTTAATTTGCATTCCATTCGGTGTAGAGGAAGTTCACTGAGTTTTTTAAGGTTTTTAAGAAAACCTCAAATCATCATCCCACCTCCCTGGGCTCAGTTTCTTCATCTTAAAATAAGGGGGATGAAAAGGTTCTCACCCTGGGGTGGCACAAACAGCAATGGGGCTCCCAAAGGGATCGAACACCTGAACTATCACGCTATTATTCAAGATAAAACTACACATACACAATCTAATATAATCATCATTTGTACTTGCTTTTGCTTAAAATATATTAACCAAGCTCGTTAGGTTGATTATCTCATACTGAACAGATGCTTCTGTTGGAAGTTATATAGGTCATTCACAACAGGGAGAAAATGATTAATTTATGAGTCAGCTGATTTGGTAGTCAATAAAGAAAATCTTTCAAAAGAGAGTGTTTTATTAAGCTATTAATTTGGTGAACTGGCTGGAAACCACTGGCTCAGTCAGTGCCTCTCCAACTCCGCATGGAATTACCTCTAACAACAGAGGCAAGTGAGCACATTCCCAGGGGCACCTGGAGACTAGGTCTGGGGGGAAGAAAATAAATTTCTATAAAGTTTCCCTTTTTTAAAAGATCTTCAATTTGGGGGAAAATTTTCCATTCTCCTCCATAACAGAAGTGTTCGTTTTAGTATCTAAATAACGTGCTTTCACCCAAACCTGCATGAGAAATTTGGTGCTCCGGGAAGATGCACCTATTCATTCCGTGGCTGTAAAGACACCCACTGCACCCCACCGACACCAGCACATATCATATTATGAAGTGGTTTAGGGATCCAGTTTGAGAAGCACAGGGATCCAGCTGACCTTGCAAAATTCACCTGGCCACAAAATTCTGTGGATCTCCCTTGTTCGTCTATGAAAAGGTGAAAATGCTTTAAGGTGATGAATCCCTTTACCCCTACAGCTCAAATGGCATCATGTCCACAGGCTGGAAGGAAAGCGAAAGTCTAGAAACAAAACATCTTATGCTAGGGAAAGGAGGAAAAATTTCAGGGGAAGCCAAGCAGAGCTCCAGAGAAGCTGTCCATCTGAAATGCCACCTGGAATTCACACCAGTAATAACTGTTGTGAATATAAAAATTAATAGGGGGGATTTTATAGTATTAGAGAAATTTATTTTTATAAATCATGTGTCTATCACCCAAGTGTTGACGCATGCATGCAATTCAAACATCAGGCTTACAATAAAAAGCTCACTGAATGACTTAGCAAGGACAATTCCCCCATTTTCTCTATAATTTGGAGTGGAAGGAGGAGGGGGCAGTGGGTAGAGGGTGCAGTTACTGGGTCAATTAATCAACCTGAAAACTGTGACACAAACTCTGACGCCTAACCTATGTCTAAAAATACACAAATGTATACGAATTTGTTTTAAACTGTCAATGCCTATATTTAGGACCTTCCCAGCAAGGCTATAATGAGACTGTGTTTGAGGGCTTCAGTCATAGCAGACTCTACCATTAATCTGAAGTTAGTTAAATTAACAGCATTTAGTACTGACTTGTCAATCTCACTGCTCCAGGAAATTGCACCTTGAGGCTACTAATATTGCCAATTTTTCCACTGGAGTATGCGCCCGCGTGTGTGTATGTGTATTTTTTTTCTCCAAAACCTCCGTGTTCATACACCATCATTGCTTCCCTACGTCCACAGCACTTATATTATCATTTATTCTGGCCTCCTTTAGCCTTCCCGGGGGATTCTGCATAGTGTAGCTGCTCAGTGAAAGAGTTTTTTAGCTTTATATTTATTTGTTTATTTTTCTGTCATGGCTCATGACTGAGGCTTTAAAAAAAAGTGTGACAGTATTTAGAGTACATGATTGACTGCTACAGCAACATTCATTAACCATGACAAATCTGCAGCAAAACACAGTCCTGAGTGTTCTAAACAGCAACTTTAAAAAGAAAGAAAGAAGAAAGAAAGAAAAAGAAAAAAAAAGACTCAACTAATTTTTCATTGACCTCATCGGTAAATAAATTTAAACTGATGGTGAGCAGGGGCAATAATAAATTAGTATTCATTTCCTGTAATTAATGCAAACATGCCTATGAACACAGAGAATATGAATATATAACCACCTAATTTCCATTTCAAAATACACCTAACAAATTTTCACTTGAGTTATCTTCATAATATTTTCCCCCTTCATTAGAAGAATGAAATGGTTGGGTTCTCTCCCACCCACCAGGGGGAAATATCGTTTTGGTTGCAGAGAGTGTCGGTGACAGATCTGCAGAACTTGATTCTAATCTGTGTCATTACTTGGTCCCCTACCACATGCCCATGCTGAGGCTGTCTTCCTTTATCACTGACCAACAAGGGCTCCTCTGAAGTGACCAGGTGACCACCTTGGCAGGCCCTCACATGAGTGAGAGCCACCGCCAGAAGCAGCCTCCTAGCCTGGCACGGAAGGTGAAATATCCTTGACAGAAGCATTCACTCGCACAAGGGCAGGTCAGGTACACAATATGATGCGAATCAAACAAAGACGACCATGCACTGAGTAAAACAGAAATACCGCTCCTCGTGACCTCTCTCAGCAAGAGAAGCTAGTAGCACTTGCTCCCTCGGGCATGGGCATCTCCAGAAACCATTCCCACAATCAAAGATCAATGTCTGATCACACTCAGGTCACCCAGCTTTCAGAACTCTCTAGACCTACTGTGGCAGTAGTAGTAGAACACTTCATTTTGTTTTATTTTTATTTTCTGTAGTAGTAGAACACTCTGTTAGTAGTAAATATATTGACTAAAACCAACAGAATTATGCCACTAAGATACACATAGAAAAATGTGTGTGAGCTGGGCAGAAAATGATAAGGCCAGAAAATTTGAATCAGGCTCTACCAAAACAAAAAAAGAACAAACAACTTTGGCAGAATGCAGCTTGCCTCATTGACAACTTTTCCCAGGGCCTCCCTTGCCCTACAGAGCTTTAGCCCCTAAGTGTTTGTGCCTCTGAAGATCGCAGAAACAAATGTGTGCCATCTGGATTAGAAGCGGTCCTCATGGGCACTTGATAGCGGAATTCTAACTGATGACAGCTAAGCAGCTACATGGAGTGCGTGTCACAAGAGGGCCAGAGGGCAATGGGAATATCTTAAATTGATGGATTTACAATTTGGTCTAGTTGTGAATATCACTAATTAGATCTTATCGTAACAAGACATTAATAATGAACATAGATCCCACTTTCTCCAGGCATTTTTTAAAACCCATAGTGGACTCAGCTCTCTTGCCAGCCAGGCAGTACTTCCCCAGAAAGAAAAAGAGTCACCCATTTCTTTCTGTTTAGTTGTCAGCCTGGAAAGCCGAGCAATGCACCTCAACACACTAGTGCAAGAAGCGCAGGAGAGGGTGAGTGAACTGTCTGCTCAAGTGGAGAATGAAGGGTTCAGTCTGGACAACACAGAGAAAGAGAAACAGCTGAAAGCTTGGGAGTGGAGGTATCGGCTCTACAGACGCATGAAAACAGGCTTCGAACATGCAAGTGAGTATAAGCAGAGGACTTCTACGTTTAACTAGACCAAACCTTGTTTGAGAAAGCCAGGCCTTCTTTTACTGATTTTTTTGTAACACGACAGGGTCATGGATGGCCGTTGTCAGCCTGTCTGGAGCAAGGGCTCTGAGAGGCTATAAAAGGACCTTTTGTCTTGCTTGATTTTCTGGCTCCTGATAGGTTCTCTGGCCACAGCCATGAGGCTTCAGTGCTGCTGGCCTCCCTCCACCGTGTCACACTCATCTAGCACTTTCCACCCGTTACGCCCTAATGCCTAATGACCTGGATGGTCTGATGCCCTAAGTGGCTATATTTTGGGATGTGGAGGTGGAAAAATATTTGTTTGCCTATTTGTCCAGTTTCTGCTTCAAGCTCAAGTTTAAGCTGTTTTCAACTCTCTACTGCATTTTTAATATAGAACTTATGTAAACTGACCTTCAGTTAGTACAGGCTGTAGAGGACAGTCAATCAACCCATGAATTATGCTTTTGTGTGCACTTCCATTCTCTTTTACTGATTCTTTTGTTAGTTTAAGAAAGTCCTGTTTCTGGGTAATACTAGCACTGGAAAGTACTGCTTAGTGGAGCCTCTGATATAAAAATATATAGAAAATTCAAATACTTGTGAAATATTAAACTTCTATTCCAAAAGGAAACTTACTTAAACAACAGGAAAAAAATAGAACTATATTGAAATTTTAAATATAAGGGAAAGGGCAGTTCATTAGTTTGTAAGTTATCTGCCTCTGCTCTGGTGACTTTAGCTGTGATAAAGACCACAGGTGGTGAAAATCTTGTTTTCCAAAATATTACTGTAAACTAAGTTCCAAAACTAGGCCTAATGCTTTCTGTTGAAACAAATAACATAACCAACATGAAAGAAAGGTTGCTTTTAATATTAACATCTCTGAAGCAATGCTGATACGTTTGCTCTTTTAGTAAAAAAAAAGTTCAGCAATCATTTTAATAAGTGCATTTGCTATTGTGCTTCAATCAGGACAAATTAATATTAGAAGTCATTTTTAGACTTGATATCAATTTTTAATTTTCTAAGTTATAAAACACCTTCTAGTGTTAAGGAATACCTAATACCATCAGAAATCTGCTAGCAGACATGACATTTGCCCATGAATTCTTTCTTAGAAAAATACCACTGTGTAATATGAGGCAGCATGGCAACAAAGCAAGTTAACCTTCCACACTGGGAAGAGCCCAGCATTGGGCATCCAAAGTCATGGGCTTTCATCCTAGCTGTGTCTTCATTGTGTCCTTAAACAGGTCATTTAGCCCCTTTCAGCTGCAGCTTCCTCATCCTAAAAGAGAGGATGCTGTTACTTGCCCTTTCTACCCAACAGGGTTGCAAAAAGTGTCCCATGAAATGATTTACACAAAAGTACTTTATAAAATGAAATAATTCCTGCTAACGCTTTTCTAGCCTTAGCTGGTCCAGCCAACCTCCTATTGTGTTTCTGGGATATTTGGGGAGGCTTAACTGGTACTATTTACCCCTTTAGAAGATGTTCTAATGATCAAATAAGACCAAGATGGCAACAAATAAAGGCCATTGAGACCTCTAATGAAAATGTTCAAAAGCAAAAGCTATTAGGCTCTACAAACAAATGTTTCTATAGTGTGTGTTTCAGGGTGTCCTTTGAAGATGCAGGAACATTGTTTGAAAAGGATTTGCTTTGTTAAGATCCTGTGTTTTTTCCTCTGTCTCAGGAGCCCCCGAGGTGCCAACCAATGTCTGTCTCATGGTAACCAGCAGCACATCACTCACTGTCAGCTTCCAAGAGCCTCTGAGTGTCAACGCCGCTGTAGTAACCAGATATAAAGGTACTGTGCTCTAGATGTTTTTTTCATTGCTCCTTCTTAAAAAACAATCCATTGTTTGGGGACCAGTGTGCATTTTGTATGTTTGCTTCCAGCTGATAGGCTGTTGTTTCATTCTATGTGGAGTTGAAATATTTCTACATACAGAGCAAAAAGGTGACAGAATAAGTCACAGAAAAGATGAACCACAAGACTGGGCTGTTATTCCAAGCTCCTCAATTAACATTACTTTTCCTATCCTATTTGCAGAGGACCTGCTCTGTGCATGGCATAGGACTGGGGACAGGACTGAAGGGGACACACTGAAGAATCAGCCTGGCTCCAAGGAGCTCAGAGGCTTGGCCATGGAACATACTAAATAGGGGGGCATATATTATAAATTGATAGCTGCAATGGCAGGTAACTAGAGTTGAAGACTGAAAAACTCAACAACAAAAAATATAGTGCACTGGAGCTCAGAAAAGAAAGGGATGGGGAAATGATAGGCTCAGGAAGGCCCCAGAGTGGAGGTAGCATTGGGGCCTGGCTGTCAAGGATGGCTAGGATTTGAACCAAAGATAAACTCCCAAGTGGAAAGAACAGTGAGAACAGGTATGAAAGCGAGAAAAGGCGGGACAAGTAAGGAGAATAAGAGAATATACTGAAGGAATAGAAAATAGCGTGGCTCCAGGGGAGGGGAAGGATCATGACAAGATACAGTGAAATTAAGATTAGAGAATCAAACTAATGTTGGGAGGTAAGGGTGGGATGAGGCTTGAAATCAAGATTAAGAAGTTAGACTCTTGAATAAAGTCTGCAGTCCACTGTATGAAGACAATATTGGAAGGGATATAGATTTAGAATAAGAAAATGAATTAGGGGACAGCTACACACAAGTAAATGAAACTCAAGCACCAACTTACACCATACACAAAAATAAACTCAAGGTGGATAAAAGATTTAAATATAAGTCATGATACCATTAAAGTCCTAGAGGAGAACATAGGCAGGAAAACCTCAGATATTTCATGCAGCAATATTTTCACTGATATGTCCCCTAGAGCAAGGGACATAAAGGAAAGAATAAACAAATGGGATCTCACCAAAATAAAAAGCTTCTGCACAGCTAAAGAAAACAGTATTAAAATAAAAAGAGACCAACCATATGGGAAAACATATTTGCCAATGATACCTCAGACACAGGTTTAATCTCCAAAATATATAAAGAACTCACATGACTCCACTCTAAGAAGACAAGCAACCCAATTAAAAATGGGCAAAGGACTTGAACAGACACTTCTCCAAGGAGGACATACAGAGGACCCAGAGACACATGAAAAGATGCTCAGTATCGCTAGCTATCAGAGAGATGCAAATTAAAACCACAATGAGATACCACTTCACACCGGTCAGAATGGCCATCATAAACAAAGCAACAAACAACAAGTATTGGAGAGGTTGTGGAGAAAAGGGAACCCTAGTGCACTGTTGGTAGGACTGCAGACTGGTGCAGCCACTGTGGAAAACAGTATGGAGTTTTCTCAGAAAGCTAAAAATGGATCTACCTTTTGACCCAGCCATTCCACTGCTAGGATTATATCCTAAAAACCCTAAAACACCAATCCAAAAGAACCTGTGCACCCCAATGTTCATAGCAGCACAATTTACAATAGCCAAGTGCCAAAAGCAATCTAGTTGCCCATCAGTAAATTAATGGATCAAAAAACTATGGTACATTTACACAGTGGAATTCTATGCAGCAGAAAGAAAGAAGGAGCTCCTACCCTTTGTGACAGCATAGATGGAACTGGAAAGCATTATGCTAAGCAAAATAAGCCAGGTGGTGAAAGACAAATACTGTATGATCTCACATTTAACAGGAACCTAATCAACAAAACAAACAAGCAAGCAAAATATAACCAAAGACACTGAAATGAAGAACAGGCTGACAGTGACAAGAGGGGAAAGGGGAGGGAATTTCAGGGAAAAAGGGAAAGGATTTGCAGGAACAAGTATAAAGGAAACAAGGACAAAAACAAGGGGGGGGTGGAAATGGAAGGGAGGTGGGGAGGGCTGGGATGGCGCTAAAAGGCAGAAAATTGTACTTGAACAACAATTAAAATAAAATAAAATTTAAAAAATGAATTAGGAAGCTACCCAGGAAAGAGGTCACAACAGCCTGACCCTGCTGGTATAGCAACACCAGGAAAGGAGAGAGAGCCCAGAGGAGGAGGAGAATGCCATTGTTATGATGATAACAGCCATGGCTTACATAGCGCCTAGCAGAGTGTCCAGTCTTTGGGCATCTCTGGGCCACACTGGAAGAAGAAGAGCTGTCCTGGGCCACACATTAAACACACAAACACTATCAAAAACTGATGAATGAAAAGAAAGGTTTTAAGTAAATTTACAATTTTGTGTTGGGCCATATTTGTAGCCATCCTGGGTCACATGCAGCCCCAGCTTGGACACCCCAAACCTTACATGCATTAACTCTATTTAGACTTCACAACCACCCTATGAGGTAGGTCCTGGTAAGATTCCCACTTTGCAGATGAGAAAACTGAGCCGATGAGGTTAAGGAATATGCCTAAGGCTCCCAGCAGAGCCAGAAGTATCTCATTATGTTGACACTTGAATATGGTAGACAAAAAGAAATCTATTTCCCTGATTAAAGAACTCTTGTGGAAATACCATGAACGGTTCTAAAACCTGATAAAGCTTTCTACACCTATTCCAAGATGCCAGGCCACTAGGTAGAATTTCTGTGTCCAGGTCACTACTCCTCCCTTTGGGCCACAAATATGTCCAGGTAGTATATGCACATCTTTACCAAGCCCTGTTCCCATGTCTGCAAACAGTATTCTCCCCATACCATAGCTTTCTGGGGAACTGCCAGACCACTCCCCTCTCTGTTTGTAATACCTTAGGAAGAGAGCTCTGAATTGGTTATCACTTTGGGTTTCCTGTCACAATCTAAAACAGTGACTTGCAACCTTTTTCAGCTCACGGCATACATAAACTACTAAAATTCTGTGGCACACCAAAAAAATGTTATATTTTTTGCAGATGTGACAAAAAATAGGTATAATTTTGATTCATTCACACCGGATGGCTATTGTTGTGCTGGCTGTTGTCCTATTTTTACTTGACAATCTAAGGGAAAGGAGGTCATTGCCCCTGACTAAATAGTCAGGTATTACACGTTTTAAAAATTCTTGCAGCAAAATTCTTGTAGCACATCGGTGTGCTGAGGCATGCCAGTTGGAAATCGCTGTGCTAAGAGAAGGCAGCCTGAGGGTGCTAGCAACAGCAGATAAATGAAGCCACCCAGGATGACCTCCCACAGCCATCCTCTGATACAATTCTGATACTTTCCTCCGCTGTCTCATCTGCCAAGACTTTCTGAAATTCAGAGAAAGTTTTTGGTTGGCAATGTCAGACATGGGCATTTTTCTCTTTCTATCTCTTTCCTGCTCAGGATTTTGATAAATGGTTTCATCTGTGCTGCCCAACTTGACATTTGCTTCTTACATTTGATTAGTGAGCTACGAGGAGCTAATTCATCTAGACTGCCAGCTACTTAATACCTGGCCACAAAGCCAGCAAATTCTATCCACATTCGCATATTAACGTGTCTCATCTCAGGAGACTTGCACTTGGGTGAGGTTGAACTGAAAGGTCACAAGTGGGTTCTGTTAGTAACTGGAGGAGATTAATTAAGCATTATAAATAGAATTGTCTGTTGCATTATGGAGTAGGTTTCCTTATGCTAATTTATAAGGTCATAAATTGAGTCCTTAACCTGACCACTCTCAAGGATTATTTAAAACAGCTGGTGGCCTACTATACCCAGAGACAGGACAGTCTTTAATTCAGGGTTGAAGTGAATTAATTAATTTTAGAAATACTAGAAAAATTACCCTGAGACAAGGCTAATTGTTTTGTTTGCTTTAGAAAAAGAAGAAACAATGAGAATTCCACCAAATGAAATGGCAACAATCTAACTGACCCTGCAGTGTTTAGGGCTTGGCAAAAACATCTCACATTGCTCTCCAGAATTTCTGGGTTCAGCAAAACCTCAAGCCTATTTTGACAACTGGATGTTTTCCCCCTTTGTGCTTAAACCAGTGTTTGAAAGAAAATCTGAATCCTCTGTTTCTCACTTGTTTACATTCAACTCATCAACATGTTGGTTTTTTTAAAAAGTTCGTTGATATCCAGAAATCTTTCTAAGAGCACCTCTTTATAAGCCTTCCTCAGGCCCAAGGGCCACACACCAGGCCAAATGCCATCACAACTTAGGGATGAAAGGTATCAATTTCAGCTTCAAACCCAGGAAACAGTTTTGAGGGAGACCCACTGGATTTTTCTGCCTGCAGCTCCCCTGGATGCAGGGAAGTGAGGCCAAAAGGGCTACTGTCTGTCTCTAGGAGTTTCCTCCATAAAGAGGCTTGGCATCTGGTCCCATCTCACCAATTGTCATAGTTTACAGAGCACAGCTAGAGCTACTTCAGATGCTTCAATGCTTTGGAAGATCGCCAGGACTTGGTTCTACCTTCTCTCCTCACTGCCTTGGGTGACCTGCCTGATGCTCCCATTTGCAGAGGATGTGTCATTCTCTGCAGGCCCAAAAGTAGAAAACATTTTTAGAAGTGATTTTGCTGTTCTCTGCAGGGTTTGGAGTGGATAGGAAGGTATCCTGTAACAGGTACAGTAAAGCATCTGTTTTCCATCCACAGGATGAATTATTTTCTAGTTTTTACAGGTTTGCCTTGAAGCAGTCATACTTTGGGGTCTGCCAGTTGTGAGATGCAGCTGTAGGTGCTCCAGAAATGTGAATGTCCTGTTTGAATGGCACCTGTCCCCATCTCTCTTCCTACCTTGTTCCCTGATTAGAAACCACCACCCTAGTTCCTCCCTGTCATAACAAATTACCTAACTGTTCTTCATTTAGTGGCATTTTTAAAAAATTAAAATGCATTTCTCCTTGTAGAGATTGCCAGGACCTCTCAGCTGGTAGT